TACTTATTTGGGTTCGATTATTGATCATTCATTCATTCCTTATATGGTCAAGGTCACTATAACACGCGGATAAAGTCGCGGGACACAGCTGTGCAATATAATATATAAAGATGAACAACTCAAAAGTAAAGAAATCAATTTCTGAATGGCTAGTCGGTAACTAGTATGTGATATATAGTATCACTATACGTTAACTACGAAACTCGCGTGTTGTCTTACCGGTTGTCTCGTAACGTTAGATAGCGGCAACAAACGACCTTTGTTGACAGAATCGATATGCCACCACGAGGGGGTTGTCCAAAACAACAGCGAGTAACTGTGAGTGATTTGAGCGGTAAATTAGTAGGAGTCGACACACACGGTAAGTATAGGTTTGAGTAGAAGAAAATTGATTTAATTATTGAAGGACGCAATAATTTTATAATTTCTCATTAAGGTATAATAATACAGTATACAACATAATTATTATTTCCTCAATGTCATTTTACTATTTTAAATTTAGACTAAAGTAGGCTCAATTATCAACTGATTAAAGGTGAGACATGTTAAAATGATTTTGCTATAAACTTCGACAAGAGGGAATTCCTTATTGCAACTGTATTTCTTCGTACTTCGTACTTCGTACTAATTAAGTAAATTTAGAGAAGCAAAATATACGATTTTGCTTCTCTAAATTTACTTAATTAGTTACTAGATACTAAATTTAAATTAAATTGTGGAATTGATTTTTTGTGGAATGAGATAAAAATATATAACCTAAAGAAAGGCTAAGTACAACACTAAAAAAAGTATAATTGTAACCAGTAATTATGATAATTGTAATCGTTTACTTTATAATAACCACTTTACATTTAAAAATGTAATTAATTCAAATGACGCAGAGAATGGCAAAATATTTGCTTGCCTCAAGTAAATGAATAAATTTAGTAACGATAACAATTTTAGATTGCTTTGCTAGCATTTAATTGTATTTGTCATATCAACGATATTTAGGTGAATCGATACATCGTGCAGGGTAGCGGCCGAGTGACACGGATCGATCGATAGTGACTACCGAAATAGAGAAATGTTTCGATACACCTAATGATTATTAAATTATTTTACTTATCAAATTTGACACCACCTATATATTACCACCTTCTATTAACACTTTCTAATACTGAGTTACTATTTGTTACCAACCAGTGGTTATATTCGAGTACTATTGTAAGTGACTGCTATAATTAAAGATGCTGAATTTAATATTATTGTTTGTTGAATAGTCTTTGCGAAAACTATAGATTTTTTGAATAGAGTCATGACTTAGAGGTTTACTATATCACTCCAAAGGGTACATTTCTAACAATATCTGTGGTCATGAAAATTAAATTAATGCGGGAGACGGTGTTACGTTCAGCCCCTGCCTCGTTGTACTCAGATGTACCCAACCTTATGCTCAGAATTGAATACTGTTACCACGACTAGGCAATGTTTTTACCCTTTTTGGGATAACAGATATGAAAATGTTTTAATATCGTTTTATATGTAAGTGTTATTGCATAACTAGATGAATTTAGAAAATCCTTCGGAATACACCATTTTACATACAAACTAACAAAAATTATCCTTTTTATCTATATATATAAAATTCTCGTGTCATAGTTTTCGTTCCCATACTCCTCCGAAACGGCTTGACCGATTCTCATGAAATTTTGTGAGCGTATTGAGTAGGTCTGAGAATCGGCCAACATCTATTTTTCATCCCCTAAATGTTAGGGGTAGTCCACCCCTAATTTTTTATTTTTATTTTAAGGCAAAACTACGTTTGCTGTGACAGCTAGTATTAGTATAGATTTGTATACACAATAGCGTTGCTAAGAGGTACCAGGTACCCCCTCCATAAAGCAAGTATGAATTACTTGTACAAAATATTGATTAATATTAAATGGGCACGAAAATTGTTACAAGATTAATGAATGCGTAAGGTTTGCGTTAGAATTATTTCTATTTTTATGTTCAGTTCTATAACAATGTTAATAGTTTATTGTTATTTCATTATTGTATAACAAACCTCAATTGGGAGTTTGATTATAATATACTTATTACATGAAATAGGTTTTTATAATAAGATTCCAATTTCGTTATTTTAAACACTAAAAATGAGATTTTTTCTGTTTGTTTTTTAAATCTTCATGCAATACTGCAAAAGTGATTTGGTGAAATGTAAAATTTAATATTAATTATCATATGATCAATAATAAACCTCGATTCTCAGATACAGTTATTTTAATATATACCACATATAGATATAACAGCGCTTGTTTTAAAAGCAACGGAAATTTCAATATGTCTAACGTTTTATATATGTATATAAATTAAAACGTATATAGATGGCCTCGGTGCTATCGCGGTTTAGCACATCGCTTTATGTTAAAGCTATGGTCGCGAGTTCGAATCCTCGCACGAATCAAACATTTATATTCCTAAATATGATTGTCTTTTCGGTCTTGTTGATGTCTATGTATATTATGTAGGTAATACTGAAAGATGGACAAAATTTTGTTTCAGGTTTTGTTACAATTTCTAGTTTCAGTCTTACACTATTTCCTAATACTTTAATTATAAAAGAACTAAGAACAGAAAATTGTAGTTAAACATAATTATTCGACTGCGGACAGTCGAATAAACAGTCAGTATTTCAAAATAGGCCACTCTAGTTTACACTGTAATATATATTTCTGTCAAGCAGGTCATGTTAGTAACAAATAATTATGCTTTTTATTATACCTTTATATTTGAAAAGCTTTGTAGTGGAGTGGCTGAGTACAGTGGATCGATAGTTAATGTGTAATATGCTCGGATCACGGCTCACGTTGGCCGATAAAATAAAACAACGGGAGGTTAAGTAATTAATTTTATTACAAACTTAATATAGGACGAGAAAAAAGAAAATGTTTGAAACAAAACATTAATTCTCTAATATATAAACAGAAAAGTTTATTGAGGCAATAAAATATGAATTCTCTTTAATTATATCTGTTCAAGTAAGTACATATTAATATAAGATTTTAATACAAGAAGTTATTCTTAAAGAGGACATACTTAGTAGAGTTCACAGAAATCTTTAGGTTTAACCATTTTCAATCGACTTAATGTGAACTAAATTACTAAGCAGTAAAATTGAGAATCCTCTAATTTATAAAGATTATAGAAAATCTATGAACATTCTGATTTAACTTACTGATAGGTATTTATTTCTTTACATTTCCTAGACAATATGGACCGACCTTTCTATAGGCACAGCCACGAGTGAATAATGTTTGGGGTGACATATCGCGGCAGACGACAACCCAAGTCAAGGACCTTTTATAAAACTCGTGACTTTTGATATGATGACTATAGGGACTGATAAGGTTTTCTGACGACTGGATAGTTCAGATGTTTTATACCTTTCACATGCTTTAAAGTCTTGGTTCATAAGAGTCGCAGGTTTGAATTTCACACAAACATTAAGCAGTATGTATGATTATATTGGTCAGGTTAGTATATTTTTTATTATACCTTAAGAGTATAATAAAAAAAATGATTGTAAAATAATGAATTTAAGTATGTTTATCAGTAGCTACTATTTCTAGTATGAGTTATTTTTTGTTTGAAGCTGTATGAGGTGTATAATGTTATTTATTTACAAAAAAAAGTTTTTAGAGATAAATATAGAGAAATAAATATATTAAATATTGAGCATACAGACGCATACAGCATTTAGTTGTTGCTTTGTGAATTTGCTTTACACAAAGAGTTGGGTGCTTCAAATATTTGTTCACGTTGGTTAACGTTGGAGTGCTACAAAGCAAGTTACATTCAAAAGTTCCAGTGTAGGTATGTCACAACTAGAATTTATTTTAAACAAAAACACACAAAAGTACCTGTTGTATCCTATAACTGTGTTATATACTATATATATTGTACCCTATAACTGTGTTATATAACAGTATTCAAAGAGAATGGTACATTTTTTTATGTAATTGGAATGGAAAACATGTCCATCTGATGGTAAGTGGTAACCGTGGCCTACTATGAGTAATATTACGGACATCACGTTATCATGTGATACTCCAAAATACCACTCATGCATTGTCAATCTGGAGGTCGAAGCAAGAAGAACATGCCGCCACATACTGTAATTTCACTGCATTATCCTAATCTTCAACCAAAACACTGCGGCTTAGTTATAAGGTAAGTTAGATGGCTGATATAAGTGAGACAGAGGTATCCATGTAGAAGACTTTTTGCAAAAGCTACTTCGGTAAATAGAAGATGATTTACATTCAGAATAGTTTCTACCCTTTTTCACTTCGTAGGTATAAGAGTTTTCAACTATTTTGTTAATGAAAATGAGTCTTAATATGGTAGATTAAGACTACTTTTCATGTTATTTTTTATGAACTTTTTCATTAATACTACATCTGGCTTTCGATTTTGTTGTTATCTAAATTAGTTCTAAATTAGGACCAAGAGTGATATGTTACTTATTTTGTTTCTATGCCCAGTTTCATGATATTTATTTAATTAATAGTAATTTCATTTAGAAAGTATTTTTATGTAAATTCCTTGCTTCATCAATACATACAATATCTCTGTTTTCCCTATGGTTGACTGGGAGAAAATGCCTTATGGTGTTATTAATTCCGTCATATGCTTTATTTTTGTATTTGTATATTGAAGGTAGTAAGTAAATAAATAGTTAGTAATAATTATGACAAGAAATTATGATTGTTTACGTAATTGTAATAAAGCCTTTAATTAAAGGTTAGAATTAATCTTTTCTTACAAAACTAATCATTTTCATACTTTTCAAACATTTTTCTTTAAAATAACAATACAATATTGTTTTAAATGAAAAGACATAACATTAAGAATATTACGTACTTTCTTTACTAGCCATCTCTTTTTATATCGCCTACTCCAATAATATATATAATTTGATTTATGAATCTATGCATATTCACAATAAAACTTACCTGCTAACTTTAAATTGGGTTAGCACCGCAGTGACAGGGGCTTGTAATGACCTCTAGATTGTCACATTTATAAATTCTTACACTGAAAAAGCACTGTTGATTGACATATCATTGTTTTAATTAGGTATACACAAACTGTTGTAACACTCAAAAATGTTTTCTAAAATTATGACATTAGTGACACTGATTATTCAAATGCGTTTTAGTTATTTAGCTTGTTCCTATAAATATTGAACTAAAGTTACGAAGTCTTCAGAAGTACGCAGCGCGACACGTCCGCTCGTAGCTCTATGGTTTCAGTTACTGCTGTAAGTTTAGATTGAATCGCGGATTTTCCGCCGACTTTAATGCCTATAAGCAGCTTTGTGGTTATTAGTACAAGGGTATAGCTTCACGATTCGAGTTAAAATAAAGCAGAGTTGACTGTTTGTTTGGTAAGGTGAGTCAGCCGTCAGGATTCGTAAAACCTTTTCCTATTGAGTTTTGTCAAGTGAGGAAATGCTTAGCTTTGTTTCAATGTGAAAAGGTTTTGGGTTACTTGTTTACATAGGAAGCTTTATAATATCTTTGTTTAGGTATTTCAATGTCAATAAAACTTTGCTTGAGTTTGTATGTGTTGCCTTACAAAGAGGTTCTATTTGTTTTAATTAATATAAAATGAACTGTTATTCGGGTGAATACGAGAAGTTAAATGTGTTTACTAAATTGTTGTTTCGTTGATGTATAATAGATAAATAATTAACTATAATATGTCAACAAAATTACATATATTTTCAACGAATTATATATATTAACGTAAATATAGAAAGTATAAAACTAGATTTCAAAATTCGATACAAAAATACAGATAAAAGATGTTATATTTTCGTTGCATAATCTACAATAAAAAAATATTTCCCCATCTATTTTATTTTATTCATAGTTGGGATAAAACTAAAACCACCTGACTAAAACAAACTGACGTAAATGCTTTTCAAAAATTAATTCAACCCATGAATTCAATTAAAATGGAAATTAAGTACCTACGTGTTGCAAATAGTATTCCCAAATTTTTATAGTGAATTGTGGGATATGTGTCAAATAAATGATCAATCGCTTAGATATGTGATGTGAAACTAATTTTTCAATTGACCATCTGTGTCTTTACCATTGTTTTAATGTAAGATTTAATCAAATTCATAAAAATTCTATTAATTATTATAATAGTGATACGTTTATATCTCAGAATTCATTATAAAAGATTTGTATTAGAGACATTAAGTTTCTTAAACAATACTGAATGTCATTATACTATTATAAACTGATGAAATTAATGTTTAAGTTAAAAAGTTAAGAATATCTACTAGGTCTTGCACAATTTACTGTTCCATTAGTAGAAATTTAGTAGTTAATAGAAGTTCCATTAATAGAATTAAAGACTGAAATAAACTACGAGTGAAATAAGGACGTGCATTGGGCTCTTTTTTTTATTTGAATGGCTAAGAAGCTACACGGTAAGAGGTTACCGCCTGTGCACATGAATAGTACTACCGATATCACGTTATCATATGTTACCAGTGATACACATGTTTTGTAATTCAATGGACCAAGATGTTATGCTTCTAGATCAGTAATTTATCTACCATATCTCACCCATTATCGAATATAAAGTTTATAAATCTGCTTGCGATTAAATTAGTTGAAAATGAGGTAACCAGACAGACTACTTTTTTCAAAGTCTACTTAGTCAAAAACCACATAACCAGGGACGACAACCGATATTTTTTCTGTTTAATCATAGAATGACATAACTATTCGATAGTAACAAATAGTCGAAACGATCAATTCATCCATTTGACAGCTACGATGACATAGACAGATTCACGAACACTCCTTCAACAAAAGAGATAAAGGCTTCAAATTTATACCCCACTTTTTGCATTACTTAAAAGAGATATTAGACTATTTACCAACTAATATTAAATAAGTTTGCCTCAAGGTATATTATATACTTGTATTTACTTCACTACTATTGATGCTCACTAATTGGCCATTAGAAATACTGGTTCGAGTTCGGAGTATAAATAATTTTTATTTTAAAGTATTTAATTAAAGTATATTTTTCAATGAAGATTTCTTAATTTTTAAAAGATTAATAAACTTCTCAATATTATAAACGGGAAAGTTTGTGAGTATGGATGGATAGATGGATGCACGGATGTTTGTTCCTATTTCACACAAAAACTACTAAACAGATTTTAATGTAACTTTACAGTAACCTAGCTTATAATTCAGAATAATACTTAAGCTATAAATTTCACGTAGGTGTAACAGACAGTTCATATTTCAATGGACGAATGTGAATACTTGCACCCGGTTGCCCTAATAAATTGAATTCCGGATCCACATCAATGCAAAGAAAAATTTATGTTATTTTATTTTTTTGTTACTGGCCTAGCTCTCACAATCTGGTATATAGCCGACGGTTACTGCTATTATCAGATCAGCACCAAAAACATTACGTTAACATGTGACCTGCGTGATACTACTCACGAGTTGCTATTCCAGAGAGCATTCCATTAGCTTATACCATTAGTAATTAGGCAGAATATCCCAAAAATTCCCATAGAAATGAGACATAATGAAAATTCATTATGTTTAATTTCTAGTCATTTTTCTATGAGCTTTCGTGGAGCTGTATATATTTACTTTTTAAATATCCAAATTGCAATCAGTAATAGCAGTTGCTATATAGGATCAAAGCAAATCAAATCGAAAAGATTTATTAATGTAGGACATTTTAGCTGCTTATGAACGTATTTTTTTTTTGTATTAATATTATTTCTCTACCGTATTTGCTCTCAGCATCAGGCTACCTTTATTATGTTTTCTTTTCAGTCATCTATTTTTCAGATTTGTGATAGGAGCTAACTTATGTTAGCTCAATAATATAATGAAGACTGGAAAAATTGTACATATTTAATATTGTAAAAATCCGAATACCAGGTCATCCTACTCCCTGTCTGACACATGGCCACACTATCCTCCCACAAATGATAACTGCGAGCTTTTAGCCTTCATGAATAGGTATACGTTCAGCAGTCATACGATATTCGTTTAACTTTTTTCATGGAAATTGTAATTGGATTCTGCTTTTAACTTTCTTTTCAATTTTCGTCAGTTGAATTAATAAAAGGTACTGTAATAATCTAGGTAATGTCCTCACTTTTTTATCCTTAGACCTAAATATTTCAAGGTGTAACGAACACAAATAAAATACACATTTATGTCGTAGTAATATAGTCATAAGTAGATAATTTGGTAGGGTTTCCAATATATATCCATGTTTGTTTACACAGTCTGTCGACTTGTTTGACGTTCCGTTCGTTTGATGAAAACAAGATGAAGCTGTAGAGCGCCTCATGATTAATTCATATGTCTTTTCAGGCTTCTTTGATTTACCTGTCGAGTAGATTAAGGAATGGAGTAACGTTTCATATAAATAAATCAAGTAAAACGAAGTCGTGGAATATTTACGGAGTAATTTAATAAAGTTAGCTGTACCCGTGACTTCATCCGCTTGAATATATATTTTGGAAACATTACTCTCTCAAGTATACTTCAATTAATATTGTAAATACTACTTGAACTCGCGATTTTGTGGGACATATTAATTGACTGAGATAAAAGGTATTACAACATTTATATAATTTCATTATCAGAAGGCAAGGAGGTACTAGATACTCAGGAGAGACAGGAGATGAACTTAAAGAAAACGACGATGGCGCATAACAGTTATGTACAGAAAATAATAATATAGAATATATTTACAGAAACTACGATTGGTGTGTGTTATTATTGTTTTTCTCCATTATATAAGACTTTTATTATTGTGAGTCATATTTCTAAGTGCTCGCTAAATAAATTTGCCGACTATAGGTTTCAAAAGTAGTTTCTAACTATCTAGAAACCCATTCAAATATTAATATAAACACACAAAATTTCATGAATATCGGTTAAGTTCAGAAGTAAAATATAAGTTAAGATTCTCTACTTGATAAATAACTTATTACTATATTTGTTTTATTATCATAAATAAGATTTCACAGTAGAATATAGATGAGGCCTCATCCATCACGAGAAAAGGGTTGAAATCTTCTTACTAAATCAAAGGAGTTGAAGATCTTCTATCAAGATTCAGGTCAGTCTTGCGTTTCGTTGGGAGGTAATGTAACAGAAGTAAAATTAATATATGTATTGCAACTTACTATACTCTGTGGCTTTCACGTCATTTTCGGGCTTTATATATCAATTGAGCATATATACATCATATTTAAATCAAATATGTTGATCCCGGTAATCATGATTGAGTGACAAGAATATAAATATTTTTAGAGACATACTGCGAGGCTTATACATTTACTAAATACGGATTTTTTCGAGTATATATCAAATTTTATTGATATCCATTGAGGGGTTATAAAGTATAAATGACTACGTAGATGTATTTACCAGGATGTATATATATAAGGATATTTATAAGGATATGAATATAAACTTACTACCTATTTATTACATTTACTTATCTATTTTATGTATTTTAAAATCACAGTAAATAAATTTCACATTTTTTAACACAATCGTACACGCGGGAGTAAAATCATTTATTATTTGTAAGGAATTTTTCTTTATATCAAAGTTGTCAAGTTGTACACAATCATTAGAAATAAATTACGTTCACACTTTAGCACATTGTCATATGTAGTATATTATTGATAAGTTCCAAAATTGTTTACATTTTTTGTATTTTATCTTTTATGACAATTTTGTTCATTGATAATAGAAAGAATGCAGTTGTTACTGCATTTAAATATAACTATGATAAGAATGTATTATTGAATTCCTTGTCAATGCTAATGTTTATCTATATAAGACTCTACTTTTACATTTTCGTTTTCATAATATTCATGCATAACTTAATCAAATCATGTATAGCACATATAGTGTTTATTTCGTGTTTTTCTTCATCACTCAAACATTTAGTTACACAGTGGTAGACAGAGTATATAATGGCCAAGCTGTGCGCCCACATAGTTACAAATACTTGGTGAAGTTGGCAATCGACACCGCCTCTAGTTGTAGTGGCTCGATTATACATAATTTTTGGATTATATCTGCATCCCATTGTTTCACTCATGATAATTTAATGAAAGTATCTGTATTTCACCATACTAACCTCAATAAGCCGCTCGATCAGGGAAGTCTTGTCGTTACACATCCTAGCTATGATAAAAGAATTTCTAATAATAAAGAAAGTGCTTACTACGATATTGCTTTGGTCAAGACTGTGGACTATATACAATTCAATGAATACGTCCAACCCATAGCTTTGGGATATTGGGAACCCTTTGACCAACAGGGCAATATAGCAGGGTATGGCCTGACTGAACCTAACATGACTGTACCAAGAGAAACAAATGTTCGTATATATAAGTGTTCGAGGCTAATATGTACAAAAGGTACAACACGTCCAGCAGGTGGAGATTCAGGAGGACCGCTCGTAGTGTCAGACATGTTAGTTGGTATAATTTGTGGTTATGATACAATTATCAAGGAGACTTATTAGGAGGAGATAAGTTGCCGTGGATTAATCATTATTAAAGACTTATAAAGATATTTATTACTAATAAAAATAAAAAATATAACCTAACTTCTTTATTCGTCAAAAAAACATTTATAAAATTTATTTAATGGCGTGTTATCCTTATTCTTTTATTTTATCAATTTTTGCGCACCTCTTACTTCTTCCAGGGTACCTATATGTAAAAATCAGATTTTGTTTCTTGGCAACCATACTGAACTATTTGCACTGCTGCAGTACACTCATTATGTATTATCATATAACACTGCAGCTTACCCTTGTTTTTTCTTTGTTACTTTTACTGTAATTATTCTTTTGCTATAGTGCAAATTTATCTATCTGTCTATGAAACCTATTCTTTAAATATACCTGACCTCTTTTATTATGAAAACACATACACAAACTATAGTAATATTAGTATACTTTCATCATCAGATGAGTCGATCAGGCATCATTGGATTCAAATATACCCATCGAAATGTGGGCTTGTCGCGTCATACTATGAATAAAAGTTACATTTGTTTAGGATCATAAATGCTTATGAAATAGTTTCATTTATAGATAAATGACATATTGTGTTACAACAGATAATTTTTAAGATCTATTTTTTCTAAACAGAAATAAATCATGTCGCACTTTATTTCCAATTACCATCTACAAATTTATATATTAGGTGATTTTCAAAGATTTATTACGTAATAATATGTAATGTCATATAGATAAGTTTTAAAAATAAACATCAACGTAATTTAATGATTTTATCTACATAAAAAAAGTAGAAAATTCCGATGCACAGTTTTTGAGTATTTTTAGATTCTGTTGAGTTAGCTCTGTTAAATATATTGAAATGTATAAAAATAAAACCTCATTTTATATTTATTATAAATATAAAATGAGGTTTTATTACCTTGGTAGACTTTATATAAGGTTGTCTACATAAATACCTCTGTTTCACCTTTTAAGTGTAAGTTCTAGCATAAATCTACCTGATTTGTTGTATGTGAATAAATGGTTCAAATTAAAATAATACAGTTTTAATATTTTTTCATAATATTTCTTCATCGTTGTTAATGGTGAATTAACAACGATGGTTTCAATAGAGGATCGCCTGGAGATCGACCTGTCACTAATTGCTTGCTATGGGGTTCCACCACTAGTTCCCATTACTGACAATCCCCTTATTCCATGCCAAGCAATTAATGAACACAATATTAATTGTTTGACGTGGCGGAAGGCAGTAACTAATGCACAGATGGTCGAATTTGCATATTTAACTACTGCAACGTCGGGAGTTTAGAAGGCAATAGACAATAATGTCCTCCATTCAATTTAGAAATTTTACTAATGTTAGCATAGATCTAAATATTGTTTTATAATTTTTCAAATAAGAGATTGGATATTTCTGTTAATTTTATAAACACAAAGTTGAAAACCGTAAACAAATCATACGCCTCTTGAAAGAATGGGCTACAGGATTCGCATTGGTTTATCCCGAAACTGGACTGTGAGCACAGATCGAATAAATCTGTGCTCACAGTCGTCAAGGTATATTACTATTATTAATAGAACGGAGGTTATAGTTTTATTCAGATTAATTCTAAATAAGCAACATACAAGAATAGGCAAAGAAAATAAGTAATTAATGGCAAATTGCGCTACTTATTGTCTTCTAATAGTCTAGAACCTCGGAGAACTGTATGATGGACATATTGTATTCCTCATTGAATTTTGTTTAATTACACGTGTAATATAAATACTGACACCTAATTATAATTTGAAATTTATTTATTTTGAACATTTTAAAACGAAAAGCGTTTCTTTATAAATATTTAAGTAACATTACTCTACCTCAACAATTTGCAGTACCGTTAGCCATTGCCGTGTCCGAGATGTGGCGTCGGATATTACGTTTTTTGCTGCTCGCTGAATGGAACGGCACGAATCCAAATTACTGGTATACACCAACCAGAAGTGTTCACCTGAATCGCACTATCGAAGTTTTACGATATCATTGTATATAAAGAATATTTGGAGTGTTATCGTCGGGGAGTCCGATGTTGCCGAGAAGACCGGCCGTTGCGAGGGGCCGGACTTTATCCTCGCTATATTGTCATTTTCATGTAGAGTGGCCTCTGCTTCGTGTATCGTTTGTTAATATTAATCTCCTGTTAAATTAACTGTATGTATGCGTTAAGATTAGGGACCCTCTTCTTAACCGGAATCGGTCGGCGGCATGTTTGACTTCCTTTTATTGCCACTGTAATGGTCTACACTACTGATTTTCGACGTTTTCCTCCTAATGATATTTTTTATACTTATTTCTAACAAAGGGACAAATGGAATAAAAATGTCACTTTACTAACAGCTTTTTATTGTAGTGCCGTAGGCACTAGTGCCATTACAAGGCCTGTTTGTTAAGAATTGGAAATTAATATATTTAGGTTGTCTGTTATTCAAAATTTATATTAATATATTTACATATATCTATTCATAATATTATTTAATTATTCCCAGATTAGAAAAATTAGGACACTTTTTTAGTCTATATGGTAATTATAACCTGACGAACCAAATTGTTGCTATGAATTAAAAATGTAATAGTTTTTATCAAGAATATTATTTTCTTAAAAAAGTAATTTGGGCATCTCACTATCTCATTAGGTAGGTACAAGATACTTCTAGATAAAAAAAACATATTAATATAAGAAATGCGCTAGTATGTAGATTTATTACCTTTTTACGACAAATGGGTTGAATGGGTCTTAACAAAATTCGACGCAAACATATATTAATATACAGGTTATTATTTGTCTAAAAACACAGACTAAACCGCGAGTAATAGCAAGTGATAAATAATTTTAAATATGCAATGAAAATAAGGAAGTATACTTAAACTTGTAAAATTTTCGAAATTATTTGTTTGTATGTTGTTATTGCATTGTTAATTTTAATAGTAAAGTGGAATTTATTTGCCTCATACCTAGCATTCAATGTAGTTAAATACTAACTTGCTCATAACAATTGACAACAATTATTCATTGAAAAATCCTTGACTCAAGCAGTCATGTGCTATCAAAATTATTTACTGTCTATTTTATTTTGTTGTTATTTCCAAACGGTATGTGCAATAGAGTCTCGCGTATACGATGGTCAAGATTTAAGATTTGAAGTTCATAAATACTTAGTAAAAATCAAAGCATATCATCGTTTGAACGCCGTAAGTCGCTGTAGTGGTTCCATAATAGACCAGTCATGGATAATAACTGCAGCGCATTGTTTCAAAACAGACGTGGAGATTGTCGATGTTTTTCGTCAAAATCATCACGGCTTGAGATTAATCGCTAAAGTGGCTCGAAAGAACATATACTCACATCCCTCTTATGTAGGGGACAGTGGCCCTATCAATTACAGATCGGTAGATATTGCTCTTATGAAGACATCATCACCAATTAAGTTCAATGCTTACGTACAACCAGTGAAATTGACGGAAGAACCATTTCGGATCGGACAATCAGCAATCATTGCTGGGTTTGGTAAATCTGAAGATCATATGGCATACCCTCGAGAAGGATCTATCGTATTGGTTTCTTGTCCACGCAATGTACAAGGTGTAATCTGCTCAATTGATACAGTGAGGGCAGGTTCTGGAGATTCAGGAGGATCTCTTACATCGAAAGGTTATCTCATAGGTGTCACATCAGCAAGCTGCATTAATGTTCATATACATAAAAAATGTATCACCATTTACGCGGATGTTTTCTCAAATCTGGATTGGATAACGGAGGTAATACATAAATAGATGTTTCGTTTATGGCGATTTTTATTCAAGTTAATACATTATTTATAGGATAAAATTAAAAAGCTTAAAAAAATACAATACTATAATATATATATTGCATAGACACTAGCATATTCTGACAATACAGTTAAGAGATATTTCATGTTCAATTAATGGATTTCAATAAAAAAAGTATACTTTTGTTGTTTGACAACATTATTCACAAAGGCGCCTACTCGTTTAAAATTGCAATGCGGCTCTAAGGTAAGAAAACGCAACCGTAATGCAAGGACAATTAAAATTAACAAAAAGAAGGAAGCAAGTAGTCTCTCGAAATGTAATTGGAGTTCAAATCAAGTTGACGGTTTACCTGAGAATAACAACATAATAAAATGCTGGATAACCCATACAGTGCTATATATACATATGTAATATTCATAGAAGACAATACAAACAATTATATTCATGACTACAAGTTTGTGCACCTTGCGAAGACTCAAAGCTGCGATCATCGGAAAGTAAGGTGAAGAGCAAACCGCACGACCAACGAGGCCGTATATATAGGTATACATATAAAGGAACAGCACGACTGACATCACTTGTTATTTGCCATTCCGGGGAACTAATATGTCTGTACCCTGTAATTACACTGCATGATATCAATCTTCCACAAAAATACAGGCTGTTTGACTTCTGTAATGGGTGAGATAGATGTGCCTACGCAGACGATTTACTTGTACCAAGTTAAGCCCGGTTTAAGAATCTTACCTGATAATGCACATAATTATAAATATTTCATACTAAACAACTGACAATAAAAGTGGAGTATCGTAAGTCTAGAACTCAGTTTAGCTTAGGCGCATAGCTATCCCGATTCTGGTACCCTAAAATACAATGTTCAGGTATAACAACTACGTTACCTTGACATTATCCAACCCTTTGTGAAATTATAGGCACACTTCCTAGGGTACCTCTCAAGGGTGTTTGCTATTACTGTTATGATATGATATTCTGAAACATGAGGGTCATTATAATAATTATAATTGTAACAAAGTGTTTATACAATAAATCTCTACCTATATTACAAAGACAGAGAGCGGATATATTACGAGGCAAGTAAATTCCGCAACTACACTGACTTTACAATTTTATTCACTATTCTAGAAGAGTATCATATTGTATTTCTATATATGAATATCACAATGTTATGAGTACATTAGCCGGGGCGGGCCATTAGTATTTCGGTATATATAGATCATTCAGTAAGTAAATGTCTGCGGTCAGTTGCAGGATATTGAAAAAGATAATATTATTATCATTTTTATAAAATCCCCTTCCTGGGACGAAAGGGTTTAGTTTATGATTATTACATTGCACACCTAGCCATTTGTATTTATAAATTTAACCGGCTATGTGTGAGCGTGGATATTTCTATTTACTTAGATGTTTTAGCCGCTAAGAGTTTGTTTCTGCTGTGCTTCGGTTGGAGGGTGAAGTAAGGCAATGAAATTACAGGATAAGAAGCATCTCATCATCTCATTTTATCTTATTCCTCTGGAATTATAGCACATGAGTAGTATCGTGGATATTGAATGATAATGTGATGTTCATAGTGGTGAATAAAAAGGTATAGATAATTCCTATTTTTTTTATTTCGTCATCTGACGGTATTTGCATGTACTTACTTTACTTTGTGATCTACTTATTTGATTACATGACTCCAAGTATGCTTAATCATTATTATTACACAGTATAAAAATGTTTAAATCTTTAAAACTACGCAAAGAATTTGGAAGCGGTTTTTTTTTAATAGATAAAGTGATTCAGGAGGAAGGTTTATATATATATAATACATATATACCTGTGCGAAACCGGGGAAGTAGCTAGTCATTTATATAAGGAAAATTTAACCTTCAATTTTAATAATAATAATCATTTATTCATAGAGAGAGAGAGAGAGAGAGAGAGAGAGTGTATATAATATAATTATTTTGATTTGTCAAATCTATGATCAGTTCGGAGAGCTTTTAAGCCAAAAAGACAAGGACAAGAAACTGGGTTCTTATTCCTTTCATATGAGCTTGTAGAATTAAAAAAATATACATCCAATTTTAAATTCAATTAGGGAGAGTGTAGTGATCTCCAGTATATGCTATTGTATCTTAGAAATAATTTGATAGTTAGCCGATATAACATAATTTTCTAAATTTCTGTATATATTGCTCACTTCACATTGTTAAACCTTTCCCGTTACACCTTTCATAAACTTACTTACCTACCCGTACTGCCAATAAAGTTGAATAACTCGCTTTTATGCCTGTCAATAGCAGACCTTACTAATCAATCTTGAGATAGGTTTATGATTATATACGGGTATATAACTATTTACTTTCAGTTTCATATTTTGTTACATATAGTCATTCCTAATATACTCATTTTTTTAAATAAATAAATATTGGACAATGCACCCCATATCATTTAGTCTAAAACTAATAATAGTCTGTACGTACTATCGGCAATTTATAACTGATGGATCAACTACATGTTTTGGAAATACATAATCTTTATACAAAAGAATATTGAATACAAATATATTCATAAATGCAATGCAAATACAATTGCATGTTTACAATATTGAATGATCAAACCTAAGAACATCAAAATAAAAAATATTTTTTTCATGTCGAAAACATGACGTAATTCGTTTCTCCATAAGGTTCAGTTTCAATTTTCTTTTAGAAGAACTGGCACGAAACAGAACTGTCATTCATTTCTTTTTAAAACGAATTTATTAACATTACTTACATGTTTTGGTTTCTCTATGATGTAATTGAAAGTAAAATCATGTACAGTTTACCATTTCAAGTACTTGTTTAGTGAGTAATGAAGTAATTTTGTAAAGTATGTTATCAATTTATTAAAAAAAACACTCCAAAATATTTTTGGTAAACCGTTCAATATAATATAATAATATATAAAATATAATAAATAAAATAATATTTAAATAATGCTGTATTTCAATATTCATATAGTATATTTATTCATTAGTTTAATATAAATATCTAACCTATCGTTATAATATAATATTATAAACTTGTTTACTTAGTGTGAATTATGTGGTTGGTGTGGTATTAGTCGCCTGTAAATCACATGTTTCGTAAGTAATTAACAATGCATGTTGCTTCACAGTCCGATGTTACCATTATGTTTTATTAATGACAACAAGTTCATTAAATGTCTGGTGATACGTGTACATTTACATAATACTTGCTGACCCCGCAAACATTGTTTTGACATATAAATTAAAATCGGTATTAAAAATTAGGATTCAAGCTAGAAGGGCGACAATTTATAGTTGTGTGTATTTTTCAATGCTAAATCATAATAAAATATTATGTCGAATAAATTAAAAATCATTATTTAGGGGTGGACAATCCTTATCACATCACTTAGGGGTATGAAAAGTAGAAGTACGAAAATTAGCCGATTTTCAGACTTAATAGGAAATATTATATGCATATGAAATTTCCTAAAAATCGTTCAAATGTTTCGGAGGAGTATCGTACCTTACATTTTATGTAAGTATAAGATGTAGCAAACAATATTTATGTAATTTTACTAACCAGATGTAGACATTGTCCAGGTAGTCTGCGTGAATAGTTGTTGAAAGTATAATGTTCGGAATAAATCTTTTGTGCATTTTTATAGAAAATGTTACTTTTGTACAAATATTGAATTGAAATCATGATTAATTCATTATAAAATTATGTTGTCGTACATGTATAAAAATAACTGTCCTATAAATACCCCTAAATACATGCAATATAATATTTATATTCATTAAATTACGTTAGTTTATTAATAACAATTGTTATCTATTCTGCATGTAACCTTTCATCGGAGTAAAAACACTTATTTATCAGCCATTTAATTTATTTGTCTTTGAATCATTTTAAAGATTTGTAACTGTAGTAGGTAACTTATTATAGATTTCTCTGCAGTAAGTATAATAGTTACTGTGATACAAACATGTTATCATTTTAATACATTAAAATTGTAGCACAAGTTTTTCAGGATCTCTTTACTATTACTTTTCTTTACACTAAATATACATACCATGAAATCGTAAATCATATACATACGTATACATCAAAGTGAATAGGTTTGCAAATGATATAGTAATACATGTTGTAAGTACAATTCGGTACTATTGAATAAAGCCCAACTAAAGCCTTAATGTCTTTGCTAGAGATCGATCTATTGCTAAAGCCATTTGTTTACGTTAAGAGCCAATTCTGGTGATATAAATTCTTGTATACCATGTATTTCTATACATATTGCTAATATTGTGAATCTGAAGAATATGTTTGGGTCACCTATTCATGTCACTTAGTCAAGTAAACGGTGTATTCTGTGTTTAAGAGTGAGATATGGTAGTGAAACTTCGGGAAATTATTATTTAGGATTAAAAACATGTATTTTAATTTATCTTGCTGTTTGAGGTGCTGTATTCATTTTCAGTTTCACTTATAGCTCAAACACAGTTCAGTTTAACCTAGGTCAACTATAGGTCTCAATACTACGTAAAAAGTAAGAGAGAAAAGGAATGACAATAATTTACTAATAACATAAAAAAGAAGAAATAACACGGACGAAAATTAAATTATATGTAAAAAAAAAGTAATTGCGGGTAGCATTCCTTATAAAATTTTGTTTCGTTGCACTTTGCAATAAAACTACTAATGGTCACACTATGGTTGAGGTTGGACCATAATTAATTAAATGTTGAATTATTTAGGTTATATAGTCAATATAAAGTTCTATTCAAAGACTATAATATACTTCTACGCGTGTTTGTATCAAATATACAATTAAAAAACATTGATATTCTACACTTGTACTCTATATAAACTACGTGTGCAAAATTTCATACTCATCCGTCCGCGCAATATTAGTAAAACTGGGATACAAAGTTATTGGTTCACGTGTCAGCGCGAATTAAAAAAGTCCTCTAAATCACT